GCGCATGCCTGTAATTCCGGCTACTTGGAAGGCTGAGGTGGAAGGATCGCCAGAGCCCAGCAGGTCGAGGCTGCAGTGGCCAGGAGGGTGCCACTGCACTCCAGCCTGGGTGACAGAGTGAGACTCCAACTCAAAAAAAAAAAAAAAATCAAAGATTTTATAGTCACAGAACTCTTAAAATACTAAAAGTTGGTTAGGTGCCTCTCCTCTGTGCTGTCACTGCATCCTATTCTGTAATATAATTTCCTGATTACTTGCGAAAATCTCCTCCAGGTTCTTTTTTTTTTAAATCAGAGTCTTACTCTGTTGCCCAGACTGGTGTGCAGTGGCACGCTCATAGCCACTGCAGTGTTGACCAACTGGGCTCTGGTGATCCTTCCATTTCAGCTTTCCAAGTAGCTAGAACTACAGGTGCGTGCTACCATGCCCAGCTAATTTTTTGATATGTTGTAGAGACGAGGTCTCACCAAGTTGCCCAGGCTGGTCTCAAATCCCTGGACTCAGGCAATCCTCTCTCCTCAGCCTACCACAGTGCTGGGATACAGGGGTGAGCCACTGCACCTGGCTCCACCAGATTCTAAAGTCCCTAAGGCAGGTGTGGTATTTTCTTCAATGTTGCATTCCCAGCATTCAGTAAAGGGCCTGGCATATAGTAGGTACACAAGAAAGTTTGTTAATTGACTTTTCGTGTTTTTTTTTATTTTTTGGTGAGTTGGAGTCTCACTCTGTCGCCCAGACTGGAGTGCAGTGGCCACTCCTGGCCACCACAGCCTTGACCTGCTGGGCTCCGGCGATCCTTCACCTCAGCCTTCCAAGTAGCTGGAACTACAGGCGCACGCTACCCCGCCTGGCTAATTTTTTGATTTATTGTAGAGATGAGGTCTCGCCTGCCCAGGTGGGTCTCGTGTTTTTTTTGTTTTGACTCAGAGTCTCACTCTGTGGTCCAGGCTGGAGTACAGTGGCACGATGCTCACAGCCACCGCAGTCTCAACCTGCTGGGCTCAGGTGATCCTTTTGACTCAGCCATCTGAGTAGCTAGAACCACAGGTGTGCACCAAAATACCTGGTTAATGTGTTTTTGATTTATTGTCGAGACAAGGTCAAGTTGCCCAGGCTGGTCCTGAACTCCAGGGCTCACACAATCCTCTCCCCTCTGCCTCCCAAAGTACTGGGATTATAGGTATGAGCCACCATGCCCGGTTCTAAAGAAATCTCTGTTGTCTTATAGGCAGGGTCTAGCTCTGTTGACCAGTCTGGAGGGCAGTGGTGTGATCTTAGACTTGACCTCTGGGCTCAAGCAATCCTCCCATCTCAGTCTTCTGAGTAGCTAGGACCACAGGCATGCACCATCGTACCCAGCTAATTTTTAATTTTTTTGTAGAGACAAGGGTCTCATTATGTTGCCCAGCCTGGTCTTGAACTCTTGGCCTCAAGCAATCCCCTTGTATCAGCCTCCCAAAGTGCTGGGATTATAGGTTTGACTCACCACACCTGGCCTCGTTGATTTATTTTAAAATAAGATTTGTTGATTGGATGGATGGATGAATGGATGATAAAGCAGCCTGTTCTTATTTATTTATTTATTTTTTTTGGAGTTGGAGTCCCACTCTGTCACCCAGGCTGGAGTGCAGTGGCATGCTTATGGCCACTGCAGCCTTGACTTGCGGGGGTCAGGCGATCCTTCTGCCTCAGTCTTCCAAGTCACTGGAACCACAGGCATGCACCACCACGCCCGGCTTAATTTTTTATTTATTGTAGAGATGAGGTCTCGCCAAGTTGCCTAGGCTGGTCTGGAATCCCTGAGTTCAGGCAATCCTCTCACCTTGGCCTCCCAAAGTGCTGGGATTATAGGCATGAGCCACCACACCTGACCTCTTATGTTCTTGGTATAAAATCACAAATCACCAATATTTGATGCCAGACTTCTGTAGTGTTTAATCCAAAGCAGTGTCAGTGTCTCCCCCGATTTTATTTTATTTTATTTTTTGAGTCGGAATCTCACTCTGTCGCCAGGGTTGGAGTGCAGCTGTCACTCACGGCCACCCCAGCGTTGACCTGTTGGGTTCTGGTGATCCTTTCACCTCAGCCTTCCAAGTAGCTGGAACTACAGGTGCGTGCTATCATGCCCGGCTACTTTTTTAAAAAATATTTATTGTAGAGACAAGGTCTCTCCACATTGCCTGGGCTGGTCTTGAACCCGTGGGCTCAGGCAATCTACTCGCTTCAGTCTCCCAAAGTGCTGGGATTACAGACTGAGACACCAAGCCTGGCAATCTCCCCCAATTTTAATGTTCCCCTTCTCCCAGTGGTACTGACAGGTGAGGGTGGCATAAATGACTATTGCATTTTTCACCTGTGGGAGAGATGTGCTGATAGGAGAAATCGAAGAATGTGTGTGACAAAGAGTCAAATAAAAGTACTACCTCATTCATCCTTGGTTTTTCATTTCTCACTGCTGAAGAACTGGAAGTCTCTGAATTTTTGAAAAAGGTAGCCTGCTTTTGCAGTGTAGAAGCAAATCCTGCCCTTTCCTAAAAGGATTGAATGAAAAGAGAATCTTTTTCAAGTGATCCATCCATAATGGACCAAATTCCAAATTCCCATCAACAGAACTCCCAGCTCTGAAAGCACTTTTGTCTTTAGAGGCATAGGGTATGGTATGAGTGTGGTAGCTTGGAGAAAGACTGAGAAGGAGCTATCTGGGTGTCCCAAGCCTGGACCAGCCACCCATCCACTCCAGACCAGCTCCAGCCACCACTCTTCCAGTGCCACCTCTTTCCTCTGGACATTCAGACTTGGTCAAAATCCAGACCTGCCATGTCAGAGTGGAGGAGAGTGGGCCAAGGTTGAGACCTGCTCAGAAATGTCCAGAGGGCCCATGGAAGTGCTCTGACCCCCAAATAGAGAGTCTCCCCATGTCACAATCCCCATCTGCTTGCTGGCTTAGAGTAAAAACTTTAAACCCTTTTCCTGTCCTCTCTATGGAATATTCTGTAAACAGACAGTAGGAACAGGCAGCAGGGTTTTCTTACTGGGGCATCTTCTGTTAAGTTTAGTCTCTGCATCAACTTTTTTTTCTGATACTGCTCATTTCGCTGTTTTCTAGTCTGAAGAACCTTCTTTTTCTTCTTCTTAAACATCTTCTTCTTCCGCTTCAACTATTTCACAAAGTAGAGAAGCTGGTCACTGAGGAGTCCAGAGTGACACCCACCCTCACGAGGCACTCTTCACACACTTCGGACACAAAGGCTAGCCCCACATGCATCCCCCCCAGTGTTGGTTTGGAAAATGAACCAACAGTTCCATTGTCTTCTTACCACAGGCTGCTCTCTGCTTAACAGTCTGACATCTTATTATAAATACACTGCCAAAGCGGCAGCTATGCCAATAACTAAATATCTGAGATTTACAGTATGAAACCAGATGACTTATGGCAACAATGTCAGGTCCAGATGATACTGATCGTTAGACAGGTGGTTAAAAGATTCGGTTTGGTTGTTACCATAAGGTGGCTTTAACAACTAAGCAAGAAAGTTGTAGTGGATAAAATGAGACTCCAGGGCAAGGTGACCAGTTAAGTCACTATTACTATATTTTCCGCAGATCATCTGATGGTTGAAAAATTCTAACAAATTGTCCAATAGTGTCCTGACTGTTTTAAGGCTGCTTTATATCCTGGGTATGAGAGTTAATATAATCTCACCTCATCTGCTATGTTTAGTAGGTGAACAGGAAGACCATCTGAGAGAGAGCTGTCAGAACCACTGGTGCTGTTTCCAAAAGAAAAGAAAGGGAAAGAACTCTCATTAATATGTCTAGGAAGCATAACAGTTACCAGACCAGCACAGGATTAGGATATCTAGTATACTATTTGCCTCACTGTCTGTGCTTCAATCACTAGAAAATTTTGGCAAGCATATTCATTCATTGATTCTGAACACCTACTGCATGTCAGGCAATCTGTTAGGCACAGAAACGACAGATGAATGAAGCAGAACCTCTGGCACCAAGGAGTCAGCAATCCTGGTGGCGAAGCAAACACTGGCCAGATGCACAAACCAAAGTTGTGAGAGGCCACAGATTTGTTTGAGAGTGGGAGATTCTTCTCTTTCATTCCTGTCTGGTTGGTACCAATCCAGAGAGCCAGGATACCAGTTACTCTGGAACACTGTGTTAAATATATACACACATAAATTTAATAAAGAATCTGCAGGTCAGAGTCCAAGAGTATGACTCTTGTTACCCTAATTCTCTTTTTGTAAGTTTTAGATGCATACCTAGACTAACCTAGGGTCTTCTCCCATAAACTGTGCCCTCTCCTTTCTGCAAGGATAGGGTGAATGAGGACTCAGATAATCAACCCTTCCTTCATCATGTCCTTTGTTTAAGTGTCATGTTATAGCTTCCCTTTCCTGGGGTTTGGTTGACTAGACCTGAGAGCTGTGCTCTATGACAGGGTTTCCAGCCAAAAAACGTTTCTTAAGCACAAAACTCAAGTCACACGGGAAAAGTCAGCATTTCAAACCATTATTTTTCTTCATTCTGTTTCTGCTCCCCTCACTCCCCTCAGTGAACACTGAGAAGCCCCACAGCAGGCCAGCAAGAAGAAAGCCCTGTCTCCTCGGATCTAATTCCCAATTCTCTGTTCTCACAAAGTTTTTCTAGACAAGGAGTAGCCTTTGAGGACACGGATAATAGTCTCTGAGGTCCCTTTAGGAGAAAACAGAAAATTTTAACAAATGGGATCAAAGCATTAGATGCAGCATATCCCAGAAAGTATCAAAACCATGTGTGCACACACAGAGCAAACTCAGACTGATAGATGGAACCCCATGGAGGCTTGTGATCGCATTTCCTGACACAGGCTGGCAAATTGGTTTCCATAATTCTTCACCAAATGCATCAAAGTGTTCCTGCTGAGCCAGCTAGAATGGAGTCTGACTATTTCTGAATCGACTCCCCCTAGGCCCCTATCTATGAGTTGACATGAAGAAAGCATTTGCTTTTGAGGCTGTAAGTGGAGAGGGGTTGGTGCAGAGGACTTGGAGAGTTAGGAAAAGTGCTCTGTGAGTGGAGGGGGTGACATGTTAAGTGGGGCACCAGCCCGCTATCTGGCCTGATGGTCTGGCTAAAAGTCCATAAGAAGACATTTGTGAAACTAAGCTAGAATTGTTTTAGGGCCTAGATGTCAATGTGCCACATAGAGTGGGTGGGAAAGTCATCCCTTTCTACTGTCCAGACCAGATTACAGGGCAGCGTCTAGCAAGAGACCTCCATGCCCAGCCCAGAGACCTGAAGGTGACTGACTCAGCCATGGGGCACCCTGGCCAGTAAGCTGGAATAGAAGGTATTCTTTCACCCAGAAGATACCCACCCAACTGGGGCTTCCTGAAATATCCAGGGAGACCATGAGGGCAGAGCTGAGATCCTGAATACTAAATTAATTCAACAAATTTTTTTTCTTTTTTTTTTTTAATATGGAATGCTTCACAAATTTGTGTGTCATCCTTGAGTAGGGGCCATGCTAATCTTCTTTATATCATTTCAGTGTTAGTGTATGTGCTGCCAAAGCGAGCACAATTCAACAAATTTTAACTGAGTTCTCCCTCTGTGCTAGGTATAGAACAGGTACCATTCTAAGTGATGACAGACAGAGGTGGACAAAATATGATCTCTGACCTTGTGGAACTGACCTCCTAGTAGGAGGCTACTGGTAATAAACAATACATGATAAAGACCTAAATGACACAGAATGACAGAAGGCGATAAATACTATGGAAAAAGTAGAGCACGTAAGGGGAATGGGCTGTGGCAGGAGGTTGAAAAGGGGGAACAAGTTGTAGTGTTAGAATCAAGAGGGTGGCCTACACTGAAAACGGTGGGGCTGGGCACGGTGGCTCATGCCTATAATCCCAGCACTTTGGGAGGCTGAGGTGAGAGGACTGCCTGAGCCCACGGGTTCAAGACCAGCCTGGGCAAATGGGTGAGACCGCGTCTCTACAGTAAATCAAAAAATTAACCGGGCGTGGTGGCGCATGCCTGTGGTTCCAGCTACTTGGAAGGCTGAGGCAGAAGGATCGCCTGAGCCCAGCAGTTCAAGGCTGCAGTGGCCCAGAGTGTGCCACTGCCCTCCAGCCTGGGTGACAGAGTGAGATGCCTACCCAAAAACAACAAAAAAAAAGCAAAGACTTGAAGGAGGCAGATATCTGGGGAAAGAGCATGCCAGGCAGATGAAATTGCTACTGCAAAAGCCAGAGGCAGAAGAGGGCCTGGTGAGTCTGAGGAAAAGTGTGGCAGCAGCAGAGTGTGAAAGGGGAAGAGCAGCAGCCACAGAGGTATCAGGCGGCTAGATCCTACATCCTTGTAGACCTCCATAGGGGCTCTGGTTTTCTCTTCTTTCTTTATTTGAGTGGGGAGATACTGAAATGCTTTAAACAGGGGAATGACATGATCCAACTTAAGTTTTAAAAAGAATCACCTTCTTGGGTTTTCTTCTGGTCTCACTGGTCTCTTTTCAGTCTCCTTTGCTGGCCCCTTCCTATCTTTTTGACTCCATTAGAGATGTGAGGGCTGGGCACAGTGGCTCACAACTGTAATCTCAGCACTTTCATTTATTGTAGAGACGAGGTCTCGCCAAGTTGCCCGGGCTGGCCTTGAACCCATGGGCTCAGGCAATCCATTCGCCTCAGTCTCCCAAAGTGCTGGGATTACAGACTGACCCACCGAGCCCAGCCTATTTTATATATATATATAAAT